AAGAAAAGTTATTTATTAGTTCCCATAATAGAAGAACTAGAGGACACCAAATGAAATTAATGGGTAGCAGGTTTAAAACTAATAAAAGAAAGTTCTTCTTCACACAGCATGTAGTCAACCTGTGGAACTCCTTGCCAGAGGAGGCTGTGAAGGCTAGGACTATAATAGAGTTTAAAGAGAAGCTAGATAATTTCATGGAGGTTAGGTCCATAAAAGGCTATTAGCCAGGGGATAAAATGGTGTCCTTGGCCTCTGTTTGTCAGAGGCTGGAGAGGGATGGCAGGAGACAAATCGCTTGATCATTGTCTTCAGTCCACCCTCTCTGGGGCACCTGGTGCTGGCCACTGTCGGCAGACAGGATACTGGGTGGGTGTGAAGGCTAGAACTATATCAGAGTTTAAGGAGAAGCTAGATAATTTCATGGAGGTTAGGTCCATAAAAGGCTATTAGCCAGGGGATAAAATGGTGTCCTTGGCCTCTGTTTGTCAGAGGCTGGAGAGGGATGGCAGGAGACAAATCGCTTGATCATTGTCTTCGGTCCACCCTCTCTGGGGCACCTGGTGCTGGCCACTGTCGGCAGACAGGATACTGGGCTAGATGGACCTTTGGTCTGACCCAGTACGGCTGTTCTTATGTTCATTCTTCTGACTAGAACATCGGCAAGAAGACTCAGTGGGATATAAGCCTTAATAGCAGATATCTGTTCTTCCAGGACAAAGTAGCTTTATGATCGCATCCAACATTTTTATTCAGAGTGGTGTCTCAGTTTAATCTTATTTGGGTTATTTTCTTCCAACCCTCTCCCCTAAATTCATATTCAAGTGCAGAGAAGCAACGTAACATACCTTAGAAGACAGACATTGCTTAGCAATCTATTTAGAAAGGACTAAAGTGTTTTGTACATAATGCCAACTTTTTGTGTTCTGCACTAAATTAATGAATAGAAAATTGATCTCAACAGAAACCATTTCCAACTAGATAACTTCCTATATTTTATCCTTTTCTGGAATTGCAAATGTCCCCTGAATAATTATGGGCTCATTCAGAGAGTGTTCAAGCAATCGATGTTGTCGTCTTAGTGATGGCTCAAGGCTGGACATTTGCAGAACAGTAACCTGGTGTGACTGTTCCTTGAGATGTTCATTCAGATGTGTATTCCACCACCTACTCTCCAGGCCCTTTGCATTAAGAATGTTAAGGACTAGTCAATTCTGTCCTTATATAACAGAGGCAGCAAAGCGGGAGGGGGAAGCGTACCTGGGCTCCATGTGGCGCTGACCCTTTGAAACGCCACAGCGCGTTACAAAGGGGCAGCACCGCACAGAGCCCAGGATCACTTGTGCGGCGCTGCCACTTTGAAACACCACTGTGGCATTTCAAAGCAGCAGTACCACATGTAGCCCAGGGTCAGCTGGGGACTCCTTAGCTGACCCCGGGCTCTCTGCGGCATTTCTATGCAATCCAGAGTCAGCTGGGGAGATCTTAGCTGATCCCGGGCTCTGGAGAAATGTTGCCCAGGCTCTGTGTGGCATTTCAAAGTGGCAGTGCAGCGTGGAGCCCAGGGTTAGAGGGAGACTGTAAGTCCCCTGCTGACCCTGTGCTCCATGAGAACACTTCTGCTTTGAAATGTACAAGTGCTTCTACTGGGGGCTCTTGTACATTTCAAAGCTGGCACACTGTGTGCAGCCTGGGACTAGTAGAGTTCCTCATTCCTCCTTTGAAATGTTCAAGAGCACCAGTGGGCTCTTGTACATTTCAAAGGAGGAATGTGGAAGTGCCTATGGATTAGTCGATTCCGTTGACTACTCAACTAGTAAATTAGTCATTATTTAACATCCTTACTTTGCATCACAGTCTCTTTCCTTTTTCCTGGACTTTTGGTGTGAAGGGATTGGGGTGGTGCTGCCCTTATGTTTGTGGGAGGAGCTATGAGGGAAAAGGCCCGAGTGCCACCCCTATGGGTACTACTACACAAAATTCTCTGACTTAAGTGCACGTGAACCCAGTGCACCAGAATGGACTACATGTTTTGGACTCTTGTCCAATCCTTTAGAATCTAAAATCTCAAGGTTTATTAATAAAAGAAAGAAAAGCATCAGAGAAAGGTTGTTAAGGAGAATACATTACATGTATTGAATCACCCAGTTCTCAATACAGGCTCTTAGCAGTTTATAACATCTCTACTATCTTAGGATGTACATCAGAGACTTTTATGTCAGAATGGGTCCATGGTTCTTCCCGGCTTGTTGTTCCGTATAAGGCTGCATCTGGGATCAGGAGCTGAACTCGAGACAAGATGGAGGGTGCCACATGGCATTTAGATACCTCTCCTGGCATCTTCCAAGCTGTAGCAGGTCACATGCTCAGTGGCCTATCCTTGTGTCCCAAGCCAGCAATCATTATTCTGGCTGGTCTGCAGGCATCCAGATTCATTCTGCAGGTGTGTCTTTGGCATTTAGAGATCTGTCATCAGCATATCAAGTATCAGAGGGGTAGCCGTGTTAGTCTGAATCTGCAAAAGCGGCGAGGAGTCCTGTGGCACCTTATAGACTAACTGAAGTGTTGGAGCATAAGCTTTCGTGGGCAAAGCCCCACTTCGTCAGATACATGTAGTGGAAATTTCCAGAGGAAGGTATAAATATGCAGGCCAGAATCAGGCTGGAGATGACGAGGTGGGTCCAATCAGGGAGGATGAGGCCCACTTCTAGTAGCTGATCTGGAGGAGGAAATTCAAAAAGAGGAGAAGCTGCTTTTGTAGTTAGCGAGCCATTCACAGTCTTTGTTTAATCCTGAGTTGATTGTGTCAAACTTGAAGATGAACTGTAGCTCAGCAGTTTTTCTTTGAAGTCTGGTTCTGAAGTTTTTTTGCTGCAGGATGGCTACCTTTAGATCTGCAATTGTGTGTCTAGGGAGATTGAAGTGTTCCCCTACAGGTTTTTATATGTTGCCATTCCTAATATCTGATTTGTGTCCATTGCTTCTTTTACGTAGGGACTGTCCAGTTTGGCCGATGTATATAGCAGTGGGGCATAGTTGGCACATGATGGCATATATTATGTTAATAGATGTGCAGGAGAATGAACCAGTGATAGTATGGCTGATCTGGTTAGGTCCTGTGATGGTGTTGCTGGTGTATATATGTGGGCAGAGTTGGCACCGAGGTTTGTTGCATGGATTGGTTCCTGAGCTAGAGTAATTATGGTGCGGTGTGTAGTTGCTGGTGAGAATATGCTTCAGGTTGGCGGGTTGTCTGTGGGCAAGGACTGGCCTGCCTCCCAAGGCCTGTGAAAGCGAGGGATCATTGTCCAGGATGGGTTGTAGATCACTAATGATGCGTTGGAGAGGTTTTAGCTGAGGACTGTAGGTGATGGCCAGTGGTGTTCTGTAGGTTTCTTTGTTAGGTTTGTCCCGTAGCAGGAGGCTTCTGGGTACACGTCTGGCTCTGTCAATCTGTCTTCTCACTTCCTCGTGTGGGTATCGTAGTTTACAGAATGCTTGTTGAAGATCTAACATCTAACCACTAACATGATACAGTTCTGCAGTTTATTTTGAAACAAGAAATATTTTTGATACTTAGTTACATTTAAGAGAACATGTCCCAGTCTTTGCCTTCCATGATGTAGGTGGTGGTGGTGGGGGGGTTAGTCAAAAGGTTGTGTCCAAGAAAAGGCACAAATAGTGCCAGGAGAACTTGCTACCAAGGACAGTCCAGTTCAGAAGTGTACATTAAGGTGCAAACATGCCTTTGCACCCCACTGCTGTGTGGGAAAGGCAGTATGGTTCACTGTCAGCAATAGGTGAATGGTAGTTGATTCATGGTAGTTACAGGTGGGGGTATTTTGTCATCCACACTATAATAGGCTGTTCTGACAAATTGGTTGGCTGCTGTATCTAATGCTTAATGTTTTTCATACTGTTGACCAAGTGAAACCTTTGGTGTACTTGGACAATGGTGTTTGCTGGAGGTGAAGGGAAGATGTACTACAGTTTGAATGGTAGTCTTTCCAGTGCATACAGATTATTAGGAACAAATAGTACACAGAATCTTTGCCCAGAAACTGGGGTTTGATTTAAGGGATGGGTTCATGAGCTTTTAAGCACTAAAACAGTGGTCCCCAACGCGGTGCCCATGGGTGCCATGGAGCCCGCCGGGGCATTTATGTGTGCCCACCTAGTGACCAGGGCCAGCCCAAGTCATTCTTGCACCCAGGGCAAAACCTGGCAGCCCCAAAAGATTGAGGACCACTGCATTAAAATAAAGTGTCACTAATGCTTTTACTTGCTGATGATGTCTCAATATCTTGAAGAAAACACCAGCACTGTAGTTTTAACTGCCTTTCTTTTGTCAAGAAGAAAATGTGTCATGCCAGTGTGGTTACTTAGGAAATTTGTAGCAGCTGTCCAGACTAGACATCTTCGCTCCGGCAGTTCTGTTGATGTCAAAGATGGGATAGCAGATGCCGTTTCTGGAGATCTTGTTTTGCAAATAAAGAGCAGAGGAGGATAACAGAGAGGAAAGGGAATATAGCTGTCTTGCACTGCCAAAGTGACTGAAAACTTCACTCTCCTGTTCCTTTTTCATTTCCCTCAATCCATTTTAATTAGCAATGCTAGAAATCAAAGTAAAATGAAATTCAGTAAACCTACTATTTCAGGATGTGGTGATCTCTAGTGCCGAGTAAGATGGATGTTGTCAGCGATGTTATATGTGTAACATCTGTTTATTTTTTCTGAAGAAAATTATGTTTTCGGAAGTATCTGGAGGCTTTTTTTTCCCAGTTTCTCTGAAGTTTTATTTTAATCCTGGGGTTTTATGAATGAAATTTGATCAGGAAGTGTCTAGCATCTGCAATTGTTAGATGCAGGTGTCCAACAATCCTTAGGGTCAGCATTTGATCTTGTAAACTTTGCTAACTTGAATTTCAGTTTTGTAGGTATTCTATATAATATGATAATCTAACATTTATTGCATTTCTCTCTTTTTTCCCCCCCTTAACCAGCATTCCCTTGGTTTGGAATGGATATTGGTGGAACATTGGTTAAACTGGTCTACTTTGAACCAAAAGACATTACAGCAGAAGAGGAACAGGAAGAAGTAGAAAACCTGAAAAGCATTAGAAAATACTTGACTTCCAATACAGCATATGGTAAAACAGGCATTCGTGATGTCCATCTTGAACTGAAAAACTTGACCATGTGTGGACGCAAAGGGAATTTGCACTTCATCCGTTTTCCCAGCTGTGCCATGCATAGATTTATACAGATGGGTAGTGAAAAGAACTTCTCCAGCCTGCACACTACACTTTGTGCCACTGGAGGTGGGGCTTACAAGTTTGAAGAGGACTTCAGAACGGTATGTGGGAAATGCACATAATCTCACTAAGGAGCACCTATCTGTGAGTTCTTCTCCAAAACCAAATACGGGCAAATCTTTCTATTAACTAAAGTTTTCAATAAAATCACCTCTTTGTGCTATTCCTATACAGTCACTTATTTAATTTAAAGAATTGCTAATTGGGAAGAACTGTATAGAATGATACTTCCTGGGGTGAAAAATTGGGGTGGATTGATGTAAATTAAGGTTTGCTTGCTTATTTAAATCAAAAATTTTAATCCTGGTTTTCATTTGTACATTTTAGTTGTTTGCTCAGAGGTTGATTCTCTTTGGTCATCTTCAAAACTAGTTATCTCTTTGCAACTATGTATAGCCTTTAACACGGAATTAGTATTTTTCTTGCCAACTAGGGGGATTTATTTAACCAAATGCATTTCTTATTTACTAGATTTTTTTTTTTCAATTTTGTATCTAGGTGTGTTTGGATAGAAATTTTATTTCAATTAAAAATGCACCCGAAATATTTTAAATGTTTATTTTATGAGTTAAATAAGACTACTATAGATCTGTTGGATACATAAGAAAAATACATTTATGAAAATATGATTTTTCATTTAAAACCAATTGATTTATTACATATCTCCTTCAAAAGTTTAGAATTAGATCTCATCACACCTAGTTTTTATTCTTAGATTGAAAAAGGAAAACAAGCTTTCCTCCTTTTATCAAACCCCAGGTAGTTTCTTAACTTTGAATGAACAATAGTCCATGATTTCAAGTAGCTGAATAAACAGAAATGAACAAAATATTCTTTCTGATCTGAAAAAGCTTCCAAAAACCGAGTTAGCACTGCTGCAGACTCAAGTCTTGCCACAGTTCCAAGTCTTTAACCAGTGCAAACATATACTGCTTAATGGTTTTTTAAAACAATTTAAACTTATTAATTTTATTTAACTTATTAATTTTAATGGTTTTAATTTAAACAATTTTTAATAGATTGTAGTAAGGTTAGGCCTTTAGCAGATGTTATGTAATTAAATTAAATAACAAATTAAATTTAAATCAGTTTATTTTTTAAAAGAAAAATGTTTTTAAATGATAAAAATCCATTTTAAATTAAAAATATGATTTTTAAAAAATCTCTGATTTTTGTCCAGCCCGATTAGAAAAGGGGAAGGTGATATTTCTATCCTGCTCTACCCTTTGCAGACTCACGAGGGTGGATCCATTTGTTTTGGTCTCCAGAGAACTATTCTGCGAATCTGATCATGGTCATCGCATGCAGCTCATGAGATTAGTATGTTCTTAACCAGTACTTTCTCCACTGAGGGCTGCCCACCTCCTTCCCATACCATGCTGCAGTCTGGGAGCTGACCTTGTCTGTGAAGACAGAGACGAAAAAAATCATTGAGAATTTCAGCTTTTCCCACATCATCTGTCAGTAGAGGCTATGTCTACATTACAGGACCAAGTTGAATTAAGATACACAACTCCAGCTACGTTAATCATGTAGCTGAAGTTGAAGTAGCTTAACTCAGCTTTTGGTGCTGTCTGCACTGCAGGAAATCGAAGGAAAAATGCTTTTCCTTCAACTTCCCTTATTCTTCATGAAGGCAGGGTTTCTGGCATTGACTGGAGTGCCCCTCTCACGTCGAATTAGCTCTCAACTAGACCCACTAAAATCAGTAAGAATTTTGCCACTGACTGCAGTGGGAGTGGTTCTGGTAACAGATTTATAATTCAGAAGCTAAATAAATATGATAGGGAAACGAGGCAGTTTTTTATGGAAATGTCATTTTAAACTGGAATAATATTTTTGTGTCCATTGAAATTGTGATAAATTATAAATCTGTACACTCGAGGTGTGAATTGTAGTTGTGTACATCTGTTAATTTTATAATATACATCTTACCTACTTTTTAAATCATTTGAAAAGTACACAGAAATAAGAAGAGGGAAAGCGTGTTCAGTGATTACTTATTGCATATTTGTTATTCCCAAAAGGCTATTCTTTGTTACTGATGGAATCTTAATCTATACCTTATGTGCAGGGCTTGAAAAATTCATTTGCCCACAACCCTTAGAAATATTTCCCAAAGAGTACCATCAGACATTAGGAAATCTGAGTTTGTTAAACGTTACAGCCCTGATGATAGCAAATATAACCTCCTTTATGTAAGCAAATTGATGGGTACCATGTTGACTGCATAGGGACAGCTCCTATATCTCTACTGTCGTCTTCTCCAGGACGCAGAAGAAATATGTCAGTTTTATTACTGCTATTCAGAGTTCTTTGGGTAGCTGTGATACTGACAAAATTCTTGTTAGTTTTACTCTTCTTCTGCTTGAGAAGGCTAGGAGTTATCATGTTGGGGCAGAGGAATCAACTGTGGAATCTGGGGAAAGGTAAAGTAGCGAAGATTTGTCACTAGGGACTACACAATTGTAGTCAACTATAGAAGTAACCTATAAGCCTGGGCTTATCGGTTAATCCTGTTGACTACATGCACTCCTCTCCACCCTTGCTGCCTCTGTATCAGAGGTGGGGGAGCGGGGAGGAGGAATTGGGAGCTGTTGCCCGAGGGGAGCCAACTTTTAAGGAGCACCGGTGTCCACAGTGAACTAAGACCAGAACTGCAGTGGTTGGGGGCTGCTCCAGCCATGCTGGAACATCCCCTACCAGCGGTGGGCTCTGGTTGGATGGAGCAACCCCCTACCCACCCATAGTGGGTAAGGGGCTGCTCCAGCCCCACAGGTTAAAGGTAACGGGTAAGCCTCACCTGTTAAGGATGAGGCTGACCCGTTAACCATTAACATCCCGGGCTCCTACACTGAAAGGAGAGCCTCTCCCATTGATGTCTACTTGGAGGGAGGGAATTAGATTGGTATAACTACCTTGCTCAAGGATGTGGGTTTTTCACACCTTTGTATGATGTAGTTACACTGATACAGCTCTGTAGTGTAGACCTGGCCTCGTACATGTTATTTACTTGCATCGAAACTTCAACTCTGATCCAGCATGGTCATATTTTTCTCTGGATAATTACTTGTTCTACTGTCAAGGACCAACTTTCCCAGAGATGCAGGAAATGTTCCCCTAATAGGGATTTGAAAGGTTAACCTGTCACTTAGTTAACTGGTCAGCATCATCCTGAACAGGTAATGCTTACTGGGTCTGGTTAACTGGTAACGCTTGGGGGCTGGAGCAGCTCTCTGCCTGCTGGTCCCCAGCCCAGATCCCCCATTAACTGATTAATTGGGATTTTACATCCCTATGCCCTATACTGGAGAGTGGACGGACACAGAATCAATCAGTAATGCCCCATTCACAGTGTGAGGGTCCTGTCAGCTTCCACCTCTGTGGAAACAAATATCTGGTGTCATCTCTTTTTCCATGGTGTCAAGTGAATTTATACCCTCCTTTGGGTGTGATCAGGTATGTCTTTGTTCATTATTACACATGCCACAAAGGCCTTGATGAAAGTATTTGAAAAATCTGTTTGAGCAGGTGTACAGATGGAGTTGTCTCTGTTCTGCAAACAGTGGTTTTTGTAGCACTTCTCCAACACATCTCTCTACCCCTCTGTCTAATCCTGGAACCTACCTATCTCTGGAAATTACCTTTTGTGGGTAAGGTATAGAATATAGCATAGTTCCCTTGCTCCTCTGTGATCACAGTACTGTCCCTGCTTGTCCAAAACTTTCTGCTCCTGATGATTTTTCAAGCCTTC